TTACCTTAATGCACATTTTGTCTGATCCTTTTCCATTTGAATGGGTGATGCTAGAAGGGACGTTGTTGTTTGTTTAAAAACAAAAGAAAATCAGTTTAAATATGAAACAAAATTTTGTAAGATTCTAATACTTCCCGGGCCTGATCTCCCCCCCCCCCACCTCTGTTATGAAGGGGACACTGGCACTACTGCGCACATTGCAGGAACGCACAGAGAGCGAACGAAGGGGCTTGTACTGGATGGTATCAAGGTTTCGTTGCCCTGGCCCCTGCACTGCCTGTTGCCCTTACAGAAGACAGTATAGACCTTAACTCTCAGCTCAGTGTAGCCTGACAGGATCCAAGACCAGTGGACGTCCTCTCACCTGATCTCACTTCAGATCTGTTGAAGTGCCTCTCTCCTAAAAGCCACTTCACCGCACTTTAAAGACTGCCACCTGGAATAAACGCTGGAGTTTGCTTATGAAGTTTGTGTGCCTGGTCACGCGACTACCTTGTTGAAAAGCAGTGTGCTGTGGAGCAAACTTGCATGCGTGCCGATCCCTGAGCAGCTTCCTGTAGCTGTGTGCCATGTCCTTTCACATAAGCAAGTTGTAACCAGCATATACAGGTCACACTGAGCCCTTTGATGTGCACTGCCATTGTCCATGGGCATTGTGTTCTGTTCCCCAAGGTCACAGTATTGCTCCACAGTATGCAGTTTTCACAATTGTTTTTTCTTTTTGCACAACACTAACTTTCTAAGCAGTCTCTGCAAAGACAGTAGCTCTAATTTCAACTGATTCCAAGTTTAAGGAACTGTGTTCTATGACTCTGCTGTTCTCAGTATAGTCAGGAGATGTTTCTTTTTATAATATCTTACAGCTTGATCCATCAAATTGAAGGATCTTTAGTATCTTTATTGTAGCTTTTTAGTTCGTTTTAGCATGGTGTTCCCCTTTCTGAGTTTTTTAAGTGTTCGTTATTAAAGGGGGCATGCCTGGCCAAGATCTGATGCGAATCTGGTCTAGCCCAGGTTCAGGAGTTCAGTGCAGGAGCCTGCAGGTGGGTTATTAGGCACTGTTGCAGAGGTCATGCTGCGAAACCCTGATGAAATCCAGTCTAGCTGACCTGTCCTCAAAGCCGTTAATTATATCATTGGGCTGAAGCTGTTAAATCGCAAAACATACGAAAAGCCTTTCAGACACACCCACAAAAAACAGACCAAATGATTTTCAGGGGGCTTGGAATTAATAACGATAAGGACTCTGCTTGTTTAGTTTGACCATTTGACTGTTAATTACAGTTTATTTTAAACTTTGAAATGCCTTGTTCTTCTTTGGCCATATTTAAAGTACAAATACTCTTGTGAGCCAGTGCATTGATTAAGATGTTATCTGACGTGTTTGGCTTCACCCAGCACTTTTGTGAAAGGGACATTAATTCAGATTGCTGCCCTTTTCGGGGCTTGCTGTGTCGACACTGACAAATAAAACTGTTTTATTTGTTAATCTACTCAGCACTAATGATGAATGTGTATGCTTACAAAGTACCTATCCTCTGTATACATTATTTTACAAACACAAATAGTAGGTTGGGGGAAAATGGCAAAACCCATAATTTTCTCTGCCTGTATTATTAATTTGGCAAGTGCCTTGCTCAGTGGTACAGCAACAGTTCCCCAACTAGATATCCACAATATCTTGCCAGTCCAGGGCCCTAACCTCTATTGAACAATTGGAATACAGGCCAAACCACAAAGCTCAGCTCAATCTCCCTTGTCACTCCAATGAGTTTTGCTTCTTACAGTATTGTAACATTTACTGGACTCTGTAGTCCACATTTTAAAGATTCTACTTGTGTGACTTCTCTAGTGGACGCAGTAGAAGAAGCCTGAACACTCACTGCCTCTACAATCTCGGGTCCTTTAAGGCGTTTCATGTTGATGAGCGGGGAACCCCAGAAACGAGTTGATTTTAAAACAGTCCTGTGAATTCTGAGCCCGCCTTCAGATGAAAATATTTGGTCTCAATTTGCAAAATAAAAACGGAAAACTGCATTCGCCCAAGGGTATAAACACTTGAGAGGTTTTTATACAAATTAAATCAGAATAACAAGCCTACCAATTGGAGCCTCTTGATCGTTGTGTACCTGGCAGCAGCAGCATTGTTACAGTTGTGTGTTGTGCCTCTTTGTTTAAGGACCTCTGTCCCTACCCCACCCCACCCCCCGTACCCCCCCTCCCCAAGGTAAGTATCCCCTCCTGCACTGTCATCATGGCAAACACAAGCCAGTGATGTCACCCTGCTGCCGTAGTTCAGTGCTTGTCTCCTTATCCTTCTCTTCTGCTTTGTTTGGCTGTTTATGAGTGGATTAAACAATACGTATCAATCTCCAACATAGTTTGATTTTTTTTTCTGTCCTTTCTTTTCCCTTTTCTTTTCCCCCCAGAGTTAATTTTCTTTCTCGGCTAGTCCTTTTCACAGCTTGCGTTGCGTGCGGGAACTGATAATTGGGACGTAGGCTTCAATATCCACCTCCCCTTCCATAGCTGCAGTAGGGACAGATGATTCCCGAGACATTTTTTTGCAGGGCCAGGCCAGGTGTGCGTGGTAACGCAGGCGGTGGGTGCGTGTGCGCTTTCTGGTGTGGAACTCAAGGGACGCATCTCTGCAGGGTGCTGAGAAAGTCAGCTGGCGCATTTAGATGAACATTTCATGAGAAGTGCACACAGTGCAGGGATGAAATTTAGTGCAGTTACAAATGAGACAGCAAGGAATGCGGTCACATGGACTTTGGAAACTCAGCATCTTTGTTCCTGTACCATGCCTTTCCACATGTTCAGGCACTCAGTGAAAAAAGTGTGGGCACATGCAGAGCATGTGCATGCAGGCAGGTATCCCATGAGTCTTTTTGTATGTATACTGAAATCCTTTACTCTGAGCGGCTCAGTTCTCAGCTTGTTTGAATAGGCCAGAGGCCTAAGCCCTCTGTCTTTTGAGCTGCTAGGTACCAGTGTTGTACAGTATGTAGAAGAGGAGTGTAACAAATATGTAGTGTTGAGCAGTAATTCAAATAACATGCTGTTAGATCATAGGATACTGATTATATACAGTGTTACAGTAGATGAGTCCCCACAAGACTACTCCACTATTCACGTTTCTTAAATATGTTGCAAACATACCATAAGGGTTGCAGTATAATTTTACAACCTTAATTGTTGTTCTGGGCTGTAATGTTTTTTTTCTGATGTGTTGCGGCAGAGAATGTGATGTGAGCCTATGAGAGTTAACATCGACCGCAGCTTGCCTTCAGGATGCTCAGGAGAGAAACTGCAGTAGATTTCTTTACAATTTGATTTTCTAAAATTAATAGCATCAAAGTAGTCCCCTGCAGTCAATGCATACCTAGTCTGCAAGAGTGTATCTTAATGATTGAATCTAAAATAAATTCTATACAGAACTGTGATTATATGTTGACAAAGAGCCACAAAAATGTGCAAACCTCCATCCAGTGCTTGTAAGCTGTGAGAATGGCTGGTGTTTGGTTCACTGTAGCTTTTCTGGTCTCTGCACTTCAAGGCAAAATCTCTAACCCAACACACTGCAAGGAGGCTGTCCAGGTTAGCTCATTTGTGTCTCACCACTCCTCTCTCTCTGTCTCTCTCCTCTCGCAGGCAGGACAGACCCTGTCCCCATCATCCTCAAATATGATGTCATGGGAATGGGCCGCATGGAGATGGAGGTAGGAGCACACTGCGTTAGCTGTGCCTCTCCTGCAGGGGGCAGTGTTTGTTCAGTGTTCATGTTCTGAAGTGGTGAGTTAAGACCATTATGTTAAACAATGTGAATGTGGAATTGTGAATGGGCTTTTTTGACCGTTCTGGGAGGGATCTACACCAGGGCAGGAGAATCCCAGTGCCCACAAGGACAATGTGCACCAAGAGTTTCATCCTAAGCCAACAGTCTTGGTCTGCTGCTAAAGAATAGGGGGTAAAATAAGGAAAAAGGAGCCCGAATTTGTATATATAGTCAAATACTGAGTAAAAAACATATATCAAAGATATAAATACCAGCCAACATTGCCAGCAGGTTTCCACGAGATCAGGAGTCAGTCACATTTGTCATGTTATTTGGAAGATTGGGCTTTTCGGATGAACTGCAGAATCAGCTTTTGAAATTAAAAATTTGGCTGTGGATCCAAAGAAACACATTTTTTAAGCAGAAGGCCTTTTAAAGTTTAGCTGGAGGAACACCTGTAAGTCTGTGCTTATTTTATTTGTCCATTTTGGCTTATCGGTCCTCTAGGCAGTTTTAACTGATGGTGAATTAAAATGTTTGCAAATCATTTCCTTATTTTATTAGTTGTTATAAATCATTGACACAGACATTAAGAAGAAATGCAAATATTTATAGATGCTTTTTCATTTTAAAGCTGAATTTAATTATGATTTCTTGTATTGATTCCTAGATTTCTAGGGCTTAAAAGTGCCTCAGGTTTGTGTAGAATCCTCCAGCGAACATTCCCAGAGCAAAACTGTACATGAAGTGTGTTCATGGAGCACAATCTCCCTGAAGTGTGTGCCTGTAGGAAGATATTGTCTGCGATCTGTAGACCACAATCCCAAGCATGCTGAGATCGTAAAATTATGAAAACCACTCCCTTTCCTTTGTGGTGTCAGTAACACATGCTGTCCGATTTATTAGTATTATATAGCTCAATATGAATGATTAAGAAACATGTTTTTTATATTCCTGTCTGTATAGAATGAGCATTGACTCTTGCTCTAAAACGCTGTGCACAGTACAGTGTCCTCAGAGTGAAATCATTTTGGGATAAGGGATGATGCCGAGGTGTAGATTTCAGCACAGTGATGAGTGTGCATGCCCTAGCTCTGTTTTTTAGAAAGACATAGCAGGTGTGTGTGTGTGTGGAGGCCTGCGTGTGTGTCTGAGAGGCACAGCCCGCGGCGGTGCTGCCCCTCTGACAGCGCTGTGTCGGTTCTGGCAGCTGGACTATGCGGAGGACGCCACCGAGAAGAGGCGAGCTCTGGAGGTGGAGAAGGAGGACACCGAGGAGCTGAGACAGAAGTACAAGGTACGGCTCTGCCTGCCCACAGGGCTCCCCGAGGTCTTTAAGAAGCACCCTGATCTTTCACATGGATGTGGGGGTACAGCTGTCGACAGTTTGGTTGTGAGTGGGAGTTTGCCAGCTGTACCGAACAGCTCATCTCCAGGAATTTCCCTTAAGGCTGTCATTCAAGTCGTGTGTGTTTGTTTTGCATACATTGTATTAGTAAAATTGTAATTTTATTAATTAATTTGTATTAATCTGTAGCTTTGTTTTAATTATTAAATAGGGCCTTCCTGGTTTAGTTCTCTCCCTTATAAATCAACCCACGGGTTTCATCAATGGTTTGTAAAAAACGTAGGAGCTTTATTTAGCACTCCTAGGGGCACAGCATGTTTTGGAAAACTAATAGACAGCAACACAATTAAATTACATCCACTTCTTTTGCACAAACACCATTCTTACCTTTTAAATGAAGCAGATGAGGCTCTTCATCTACAAGGAGCCACACTTTGTGACTTTGTCACAATCGCTGAAGGTCCATCACAGAACCAGAAATCATGTTTCATGAAACCATGTACATTTTGTTCATGGGATGCCTGGGGACCTTGGAGACTGTCCAAGGGGTCTCCCCTGAGAGCACCTAATGTGCAGTTCATGCATTTGCCTGGAGTTCTGCTAATAATAATTATAAAATTGATAGTTTTATAGATTTCTTTAGTTTTATCTTGCAAAGAAGGTGTATTTTTAGATCTCTTAACTGCAGTTCCTAGGCAGAAAGCTGAAACCCTTTGTTTTATCACAACATAGTCACCACATAACTGATAATTTATCGTTCAGCCGTACTGCTCTGTTATTCCAACATCGATAATAACATCAGATTAAACACTGTTTTCGGTTCCCAAAACATGTTGGAGGTTACCTTTAAACTTCACCTAAGTAGAAATTAAGTAAATCGCTTATTTGGTACCTTTTCAAGTTTGTTAGTTCGGTTGAGATTTTTAATTAAGTGAAGAGCTCAAGCTGAAACCAGGGAGATCTTTGAGAGCCCACTGAAGGAGCAGTATTTTCCAGTAGAATTCCCTGCCACAATCATGGAGCTCTGTCTGAAAAGTGAGTCGCTTCAATGGTTTAATGACGTTGGGACGTTGTCAGTGCTTCTTTGGGGAATTAGAAGATTCGTGTCCTCGGGGACTTTTCCCGCGTGTTTCAGCCAGCTCCTGGGAAGAGCAGGAGACCTCAACGGCCAAGGTCCTCCCTGCAGGAGTGGTGTCGGCCTGGCTGCGTGCGCGGCTGTCCACCTTGTTGTGTTGCAAGGTCTTTGACAGCTCTGTTCCCAGGGCCCTGACTCACCAGCTAAGGCTGTGCTGTTCACCAGCAGCCCCAGGCGGAAGACTAACCGCATTACTGGTTGCCGAAAGACCCAAGTGCCCACAGGCCTTTCAGTAGGAGTTGAATACATTGAGATAGCGCGCTAGAGAGGGAAGACGTGCCTTAATTTAACTCTGGGGTTGTCACTTGCCGTGCTCAGAGAGGAGCTCTTTCTAATCCTCCCATGTAAGCAGAGAGGACTGGCTGGGCTTGCTGGTGGGGGACGGAAAATGCCTCTGTGTGCTGCAGAGCCCCTCGCTTTCATCCGCTCGTGGTGCCACATGTAAGCGGAGAGGAAACGGAGAGAGGCAGGAGGAGGCGGCCGGGTGGTTGTCTTGTCGCGGTGCCGCGCTGCCCGGGGAGAGGGGCCGTCTGTCCGTCTGCGGGTGCTCGTGCACGCCGGGGGCCTCCCTCTGCGCACGTCTTGCTGCTGCGAGGCCAGTGGCTCCACAGGGCTCGTGAACGGCCGCCTCCGGAACTTCAAAGGAGTGTTTAGGGGACCCATACGGAGACGGGGGAAGCAGAAACCGGTAATTTCATTTTTCTTTGTATTGCTAATGCTCCATGGAGAGGTTTCCATCTGCAGTGCTTTCAAACTGGATGCCGAATTCCACAAGTAGAGACTGATGGTAGTGCTTGGAGTTTTCCAAATTTGATCAATTCAGTCTAATGCTATAAAAGCTTTTTTCGAGAGTAACTACATGCTTGTGCTGCAACATAATCGTCTGCTGTATCATTTCTTTCGGCAGCATGGAATTTCAGTTTTGATAAGGGCTAATCAGGAGCCCAGGAGAGCTCCGAGCTTGAATGGGTGACTTGGGTGCCTTCTGCACGTGTCTGGGAAGTGTTGGGACTCCCAGGAGGGCAGTACTGAGAGAGCAGGCTGGCATGGAGCTCAGGGCAGACTTGAGCACATACTCGGAACACCGTTAGATCTTAATCCTAAATCATAGCACCTTCTTTTAGGAAAGGTGGAGTTTAATATGGTATTTAATATTCCCCTGGGCAGGTTCTATATGTCAAAGAAGTTGACCTCAAGATCCAGTTCTGAGAAGTACCACATTGCCACCTGTGTTCAGTCCAGAACATCTTTCCTCAGCAGAACTGGCCTGTTCGTTCTTTGCTGTTTTTGTCTGTGCCCACATGGACAGAAGCGTAAACCTGTGTATGTGCACAGATGTGTACTTCTTTATACAGTTCTATAGTCTACTTGTGGATAATGCCTTCCATTTGATGCATTCATTCACCAGTGCATTTTATCAGTATCATTAAGCTACATTTATTTATCCCTTATACCTTTATTGATTAACTCCAGGAAACGGCAGTAGGTGAATTAAGCAAGTTACTACAAGACTACTTGTGTCTTCAGCTCCTTAGATTATATGCAGATTTCTGTAATAACAAGCTAATTATTCATCCCTTGTTTGTTGTATTTGCACTGTTTAAATTAGCAGCGGTGAATTAAAAGCAGGTTAATTGTGTGAGCTGTATAGTTTTTTTAAGTTGTTTTTTTTATCATACTGATCATTTCTGTTCGTAACAGCTGATGGTGGCGAAGCAGGCTTTTTCTCTGTGCTAAGAGTAGTGTTGGGACCACATATAATTGACCAATCAGTTATGACATTTTGATATTGGAGAGATGTGTTACAGACTTCTGTTTTTTTTTTCCATTTTTAAAATTGCTGTGGGGAAAAGACTGCATTCAGGAAATGGCTCACCATTTTATTTTTATTCATTAGACCATCAAAAGATTAGTTTTAGAAATCACCATACATCTAAGGGGTCATTATTTTAATGCAAATTGCACCCAGTCAGAATTCAAGAGTTCAGACCTGTTAATGTATTTTCTTAAATAATGAAGTGGAAAATGAAAATAAGGGTGCCACAACTTTCCATTTGCAAATTGTAATGGAAAAATGTAGAACGTACGCTTTTATATCCATCACCGGCACAGTGTGAGATACACCTGCAGGAGTTTTTGACCCAAACGATTACAATTACATCATGCTTTAGTTGTGTTTTATAAAAGTGGCTTATCAGGGACTGAAACCACTGTCAACTCTCTTGTGTTTTGTCTTTTACCTCCGTAGATCTAAGTTCTAATTTGTGTCAGACCTGACATTGAAACACATTTGAGAGTTTTAAGCCAGCCCCCTGGGGTTTGAGCTCATGTATCTACACGGTCAATGAGGGGCTTCTGCCTGGTGGAGACAAAGATGAAATCTGATGAGATTCACAGACAAGCATAAGATTTTCTCTCTCAAACACCACAATCAGATCTTTCTCTGGGAGTCTATGGACCAGTAAAGGTCTCAAATGACAATTATTACAAAGATGGGGGGAGTGTTATGGCTTTTCCAGTCTGAGAGATATGACATGCCTTTCTGTGCTGATGGCAGGCTGTATCAATGTCACTGGTAAGCATAGTCTTTGTCAATGACTTCTGCATCAGGAAGTGAAATAGAACTGTGTGATTGACCTACAGTTAATGTTGGCTTACTTCTGAAAGGTACTTGGAGTGATCTGGCTTTTAAAGTTTGGTGAAGGAGGCAGAGGATAGAAAATGAATTTAAGATCACAGTATGTCGTGCACATCAATGCTGCAGGAGGAACAGGCACAGAGATTGAAGTTGGAACAGTACTGTGAAAAATGAGACTTCAAGCTGGGTGGTTTATTGCTATACATGTTTTTTTTTATTAAAGTTTCGTTTGAAAACAAATTTGATTTCCTTCAGATTTGAGGTTTAGGGGGTCAAAAATTTTGGGAGGTAGCGTGAGCAGGTTCTTGTTAACCACAGGGAATTTGAGTGATGGTGAGGAATAAAGACTTGGAGGTTTGGCGCATTGGGGAAAGGTGTTGGAAAGGTAAGTGAAGAGATTTTCTCAAGCCTTTGCCGGTTCAGGTGTCCAGTGTGTGCTTGTGCTGAAACAGCGTGGGCTGGACTCACGCGTCTTCTTGCCTGGCAGTCACAGTGGGTGAGAGGGTCATAACTGAGTTGCTTAGAAATGAAATGAGAGATTCTAACTTTATGGGGAGGTAAACATTTATTTTAAAAATAAAAAAAGCAAATGAATAGAAATCTGGCTGCATGTGCATTTCTCTATCTCATGCTGATAACCAAAGGCAAAGGGCTAAAGCCTGCCTCCTAATAATCCTTTCATTTTGTTGAAAGCCCCTTACATTAAAATAAGGTAGAAAACAAGTAAATGCTGAAAATGTGCTTGCATTGCATTGTCCCGGGAGCCTAGAATGATTAGTGCATCACACTTGGATGTCTCAGTGTGTCAGTCCTCTGCTGTGGGAGTGTGAGGAGCCTTTTCCTTTTGGTATAGATCTGTGATGCGAGGAGAAGCCTGATGTAGCCTGACTGCCCCACTCCTCTCCCTGGAACCTGATGGAGACGCAGCACAGGCGACACAATTGTAGATCAGCGATTGTTTTATTATTAAAGATAAATAAGAGTAAGAACTCCTGTGCTGGTGTCTATTCATTTGACAGGGCTTTTCTGATCTGTTGGCCGTTGAGTGCATCATGGTGCCTTGAAAATACAGCGCAGAGAACATTGCAAAGCGACTGCTTTATAAAAAACAAAACAAATGAGTACACATCGAATTGCTGTGTTTACATGTAGTTCATTATTGCGTCCACCCTGGTTTTCATAATATCCTCATACTGACCGAAAGTGCTTTGTTGGTGGGGCGGGTGCCTGCCTGCCTGCCTGCTGCACTGTGCAGTGGTGAGGGCCCGGAGAGCTGCTGCTCTGCAGGGAGGAGCTGTGCATGCAGGCCACCTCTGCACTTATTGGTATTCCTCAGCTGTAGCAAGAGGCGGGTAGTGCTCTTGAAAGGGGCTATAATATTTCATTCAGGAAAGTTAAGAAAAAATCATTTATTATTGCTTTACAAGATCCAGTCAATAGCAAGAGGATCTCGTCTGAATTTTAATAGGCCTGCATTCCTTTTCGCTGGATCTTCTCCAGTAAGGCTACCCGGCTGCTGTCTCAACACTTTGATAGAGCTGTGCTTGTGTGTGTCCATGTGCCAGGGCAGGGCTCAAGGCCAGGGGTCTTTACAAATTCTGGGAACAAATAGGAAACAGTGTAAGAGATTGTATGACTTATTTTTTGCTAGTGTACAAATAGAAAAATGTATAAAAAAGGTTAAACTAGAATCATAATTAGCATATCGGTGCTTGTAAGCAATAATGCACGATTTAGGTTTGCATGTCAGTATCGTTCCTCAGTGTACTGCTACTACGTACTGTTCTAGATTGGTGCATTTATGTTTGTATGTAACTGCTGAAAACTTTTATCTAAATATGTGCTTAGATTACCTAAAGGCGTGCTGGCAGTAGTGCCCAACAGTGACACCGACCACCATAAACACATCAGCGATCACTGCATAGTTATTTGAACAAAATAATAGAAAATAATATCTGTGTTCAAATGTTTTTCCTTCATTTCTTCGATCCAACTTGCCTCAAATCCAGATCTAGAATGGATTATGGGAAGGCAGTAGCCTGGTGACATTGCTGGTTGTCTTGCAGTGCATGCTAGGAATTTTACTCAATGCCCTTCACTTGAGTACATTTACATTTACACTGGCAATTATTCTGTCTGTGTTGGAATCTGACCTGGGTGTATGAGAAGACAAGAGGATGTATTCCAGTTGTAATATCAACTTTTTTTAACAGGTTTTACACCACAAAAATGCATTATAATGTATCCTTTTCTTTTCCTGTTATGATATTTCCTGCAATTTAATGCAAGTTCTCCCATTAATGGTAATTTTAACTGCTTTGCCTTTGATTACCAGTCCAGCAGATGTGTCTCTTTGTTTGCCTACCTCTTCAAACACTTCACAGCTGAAGTTCTGTTTCCCTCGTTTTCCCTTAACTCGGGTTTATGTGATCATTTGGGTTTATGAGAAGCCTCACTGTCTCTGCCTCTTCCGCTTCTAAATGAATCGGGTCTACAACAGCTCTCCTGCTGTTTTTCCAGGACTATGCCGAGAAGGAGAAGGCCATCGCCAAGGCTCTGGAGGACCTGCGAGCGAACTTCTATTGTGAGCTCTGCGACAAGCAGTACCAGAAGCATCAGGAGTTCGACAACCACATCAACTCCTATGATCATGCACACAAGCAGGTGGGGGCACTCGCATGCAAACCTGTGCTGTCCTGATGAGTCCTGGACCTGTTGCACTGACGCACTACACACCTGCTTCATGTAGCCCGATGGGCAAGTCTAATTATGCTTCTGTTAGATTTCTTAAAATCAGTTTAAATCTCTCCATACAGACAACGTAACACCTGCATTGCAAGTAAGGTCAGGTAACAACGAGCATTTGACAGCCGAAAGTGTGTGTGTAATAGGATGCTGCAGTGGGGGTATGCATCAGGCTTAAGCAACCCTGCTTGGCTTGCCTAAGGTAGTGTTAAAACCTTACCTTTCAGCCTAATTAAGAAACTGAGTTGAACCAGCAGAGGTTTCAAAGACAGTAACCTATCACAATAAGTGCTTGCTACTGGCTGACCAGTAATGCTCAACGAATCTTTTCTTTTTTGCATAAATTGGAAAACTTAAAGAATACATTGTAATCTATGCTATACTAATCTATACTACACAGTATAATCAAACACTATCTTGTAAAAGAAAGATGCTTGTTTAAAAAATACTGAAGAAAAAACCTGATTGGAATATCTTTATGAATCTGCATAGATGTACAGATATAAAGTATCTGCAACAAAAGATGTTGCATTTGTAATTGGGCTGCTTTGGTCATCAGTTAATGCCAGAAATCCATAGCCACCCTAAAACACCTTTTGTAAGGATGATGCAATGATCTCGCTCAATCGGTGATCATACAAATCTCACACTGTGGCACTGAACACAGCATTTCTGTCGTCCAGCTTTGATGGTATAAAGTAAAAAAAAAAGTTTAATGTGCAGTCCTTAGAGATGGTTAGGATTCAAATTGAGTGTAAAGTTTGGTTTCCTTCCAAACGGTTTGCTCACCCTCAAACACACAGGTATATCAACATACACGTCACCTGCTGTTCCTGGTCACTTCACCTTTCCTGCCACAGGCAAGACCTTTTAGCCAGAGTGCAGTTTCATGACCCGACATGACAGGCCTCAGTGTGCTGCTTGTAATATCCCATTCATTTCTTTGACAGTTAGTTGATTATATTGGGAGAAAGTTAGACCTGATAATCTTCACATCCTGAGGGGAAGTGGAGATGAAATAATTCCTAAAGCAGAGTCACTGTCAGTGTCCACTAAACTTCAGGTCAAGTCTTCTGTTCTGACAGTCTGACGCCCTTAAAATGGAAATGGAGGTCAGTGATCTTTCTGATGCCAAAAATGAAGAAGAAAGGGCAGACTTGCCCGGCCTGAAGTCTCTGGAGGCTAAACTGCCAGAGTGCTACTGCATTCTGATTAGGTTAGAACATCAGAAAGGCTACAGATGGACAGCAGGACATTTTTTTTAACATCTGCAGTTACTTAACTTTTACAGGGAGGAGGAGAATTTAATCGAAGTTGACTCGCTTGCATTTCAGCTGCTTTAGCTAATTTCACCTCTTTGCAGTCCATTAATCTGTCTGTTTGATTCCATAAATCACTGAGCGTGTCAGCGAGTCTTCTGTGCTTACCCTTGAGTCTCCACGTTTAAAACACTCCAATTTTCCACTCTGACTGCTACTCAATCTGAAGACACACACGAGAATCACTTGGTGAATGTGCTTTCATTTATCTGGATGGCCTTTGCCTGTTCGTCCCAATTGTGTTCCCCTCTCTATCTAGCTGCTTAGAGCCTGGGCTACACGCTATCATCATTCATGAGCAGTGTATGTCATTAATAAGGCCCTACAAAACTCAGTTGTTTCACAGTTGGAACTTCACAGTTGAAAATGTATCTTGGGGTTCTTCTTTGATGCCATAAAAACGCAGCAGGTTGTAGAAATATGGGATAGTAATCAGTGACAGTCTTTGCTTTCTTAAATCGGTCCGGAGACGGCACCTGAAACGGTGCGTCTTTGCTGTTCTGTCTGCAGTGAACAGACCCATCCGTATGGAGTCCCTGCTGCCCCTGTGTCAGAGGGCTGTGACTGAGTGCTCACGTTGCACCAGCCCAGCCTCGTGATGCCTCGAGTCTGCCTTCTACCAGGCCCCAGAGCTAGAGCAGCTTGTAGGGCGACGTTTCTATAAGCAGGAATTATATCTTTGGCTGTAGCAAAGAGTACGTCACCCATCCTTAGAGCACAGCTTGAGCTCTGAGGTCCCGGGTCTGAGTCTGGGTTGTGTGGGTGGGGCTCTCCAAACAGTGGGGCACATTGGGCTGCGTGGATGAAGGTGGTGTTTGCTGGCCAGGGCTCTTCTGGTTTTCAGCAGTAGCGACCCCTCTGCTCGTTGGCTGGAACACATCTCTCCTCCTGTCAGCGCGGGATATGTTAAAAAACCAAGTGGGTCAGAAGTGGGTGGGTGGGAGATGTCTGCCTGCACTTCCTCATTCTCTCCTGTGTGCACATTGTGGCGGGGGGGGAGGTGAGGATCGTGTTGAGTCGAGGCATGACAAAAAAACACACTCTCTGGTTGCTCAAAATAATTTAAGCGCAGCGAAAATAATTGGCAACTCTAAATTGTTTTTTAGTGATTCTAAAAAACAAAAGCGCTGTCCCTTCACCCTCTTCCTCCCTAACCTGAAAAAAATGAGCAGGGAGGGGTGGGATGGGTCATTCAGAAACTTTGCTTGTGAGTCTGCAATCTATCCTTAACACAAACCTGCAAGGCACTTTAAAATCCTCCCCAGCTGCATTGGAAAAGCTCTCTCCCGTCCTTTCTTTCTTCTTAAATTGCAGGTCCCATCCTAGGCCATATTGCTGATCTCAGCTGCAGGCATGCAAGCTGGGTTTTATACCCTAAGTTGCTAGCAAAACAGATGTGCATGCATTTTAAATGTTGTGCATTAATTGTTTGTGTAGCTGAAGGAAGGAGCCATGCATTATTACTATTCAAGGGGAAGAAATGGGTCCAGTGAGCAGAAAATATTTGTGAAGTGAGGCAGTAAAGGCCACAGCATGTACTGTACCAGTACTGGTAGGAGGGGTGAGGAGCAATTGTCCTCTGCACATATCAGCCATTTGGGAAGACAGCTTACTTCTGCCTGAAGCCCCTCCCCGCCTCTCCACCTCACTCCCCCTCGCTCTCTGCCCCACTCAGCTCTGTGCTGAGTGCTGATCTGTCGAGACTGCTTGCCTTGTAATGCTTAATTTTTATTTTTCTCTTTATTTTTCCTCTTTTTTCATTTATTTTTTTTTTTTTTGGTTCTGCGATGTTTTAACATCTTTCAGCTGATGTATTGCCAGCAAACCCTTCTAAAAATATGGGCGTCCAGACCACCAGCGTGAGTTTCTCTCTACTGGCTTGTGTAGCTGTATAATTATACGTGTCTGCCCTTGGCCCCACTTCATCTAGTGAATGACTTGTCTTTTTTTGTCCATCACTAATTACTGCTTGATGCTTATCTGCCCTTTCAAAGCAATGTCCAGTGTGCAGGGGATGGAAGTAGCAGCATGTGAGTTTTATGCATGCACAGTATTTCTTTAACCATACAGGTAATTCTTAAAGAAACAAGGTCTGCAGCAGAGCACTGCTGAAATGTAGTGCACTGGAGAAGTTCCAGATTTTTTAACTGGGTTAATAAGATGATTACAGAATCTCCAGGGATTATACATGACTATCAGTGGTGTGGTCAGTCACCAATAAAATAAGTTAAAAATATCACTACATTTATTATGAATGTATTATTATTATAAATGAACATTAAAAAAACTATCTTTAAGGACTGCGAGATTGTGATAAAATCAAAATCCAATGATTTGATTTTGTGTGTAGATTTCTGTGCATAATGTACATGTTTATCATCTGGAGATGTGGCCCAGGCGCTGCTCTTCAAAGTTTTAGACGCAGTCGTGCCCGAGGCTCCTCAAGAATCACCGTCTCGACGGCCTGTTTGGTTACAGATTGTACTCAAGATTGGGATCTTTGCCATTTTGTTTTTGTATGAAAACGTGCTTCGTCATCAGACCAAAGCGGTTTTCCAGAGCCACTTTGATTTCATTGCTTGTCCAAGTTGTTTCTCCCCCCCCAGCTAAAAAGCTTTAACAACATGTGCTGAATTTTCTTACACTTTTGAGTTTCAAGCCAGCAGGGTACTGTGCCATAAAAGCGCCTGTGACTGACTTTGTGTAGCTCGGACATTGCTTTGCCTACCTCTCGATTCCCTGCACCTTTTTTCTTTTCTGCTCCCCCTTTCCTGTTTCATTTTCCCTTGGCGTTCGATTAACCTCATGCTCTCCACTCCTTCTCGCGAAGCCCAGCGTTCCCACATCTCCCTGCCTCCCTCCCACCCGCTCTCTGTGTCCTCCATCCAGCCTTTTGCCTACGATCATCACACTTAGCGAGAGGCACTCTAGACTGAGCTGTGGCTTTGTAACGTCGTGATCCACTGCTTGTTGCTGCCAAAAGAAAAACAAAATCGGCACAAAGACAACAAAAAAAAAAGATGCAATAACCAGTTTTTCTAAAGCTGCTTAAGCCAAAGAGAGCTTGGCTTCAGAGGAGGTGGCTCAGTGGCTCTGAGCACAGGTAAGGAGCTCACTGACACTGTGTGGTAAAAGTTTTAAGCTGGGGGTGGGAGTAAATCATTGGTGTTTTTTCTCCCTTTGAAGCGTGGCTCCACACGGCGAGAAGCTCTCCGAGGTTTTCTGCAGTGCTTGCCTGCCCCCCCGAGCAATGAGCCCAATAAAGCAAAAGGCTTTAATTACGCCCCGGCAGGACTTTTACATTTTTGAATGTTTTTTTTTTATTTTCTAATGTGATTCCTGCTGTGTCATCTTTAGTGTCAGTCAGTGTCTGTTTCCCACTGCCTGGGCGTGCCAGGACTGTATTTCCGTTCTGTGTGCAGAAAAGCGTGTCTCCCAGCTACACAGAACATGTTAAAAACAGCAGCAGCCATATGAAATAGCAGCAGTAAGCATTCTTTCAGCAGAATCCTTCTTCCAAAAGTTTCCTTTACCTTAAGCTCTGGTTTTCTCGTTTAAAAATTGAATAATCTTGAGCTGCGTTAGAAATAAATTCTACACTTGTGTGCATAGCAGTTTAAACTGTCAATTCAGCACCACTTCCAATCAGATAATAAACATGGAGCACTAAATCGTGCCTAAGTCGAATAGAAATGCTGGCGAATGCTTCTTTAAAACCATCATCCATCGATTCAGTTCGTTTTTAACTTACAGGCTTAGGTCACCGTTTCATCCTATCGGATAAACCCAAACCACACGATTAACGCACTGGAACTCGATGTGGGCAGCTTGCAGTTGTGTGGATTTCCAAGGCACTGCTGTGAAAGTGAAAACGAGGGGGAGATGCACGGCGGCCTGCAGGTGGCTGGCAGAGCACTAGGCCCTGGTGGCTGAAAGCACTGGCTGAGCCGTGTGGGGGGGTGTGGCGGGCCGCGTCACTGACTCTCTCCCCGTCTCTCGTTCTCCTCTTTCTCGCCCCTCCTCCCTCCCTGCCCCTTCCTCTGCCTTTCGGTTCAGAGGCTGAAGGAGCTGAAGCAGCGGGAGTTTGCGCGGAACGTGTCGTCCCGCTCGCGGCGGGACGAGAAGAAGCAGGAGAGGGCGCTGCGGCGGCTGCACGAGCTGGCGGAGCAGAGGAAGCAGCAGGACTGGTAGGACACGGCGCCCTCTGCTGGGCGGGGAGGGGGAGAGCCGCAGCTCGGCGCTAGCGGAAAGCCACTGCGGACTTGCTTGGCCGGATCTATACTGACATTTCATCAGTAGAGCAGTGAAATTACTGCAGGCACTTGGGGGAGTCCTTCTTGAAATCCCTGGCTGGGTCATATTGTCACTGAAAGACCCTCCCTTTATAACAGAAAATAACAATTCTTATGTAAGACTGAATGTGAAACTTTGAGCACAGGCTGTGCCGCTGCCTGCATCATGCAGTAATTTCGTGCATCTCCACATCCCTTTTTTTTGCTTTAGAAATGGAGAAATAATTGTGCATTAACGTTGCGTGTTAAGTCTTTAAACCGGCTTTTACCTCTCGGTGCTCGTACAGCCTGACGTGATGCTGGCCTGTCCTGTCTTGCAGCGCCCTGGGCAGTGGCCCCATGTTTAAAGCTACCACAGTGGCAGTGGACGGGGAGAACAGTGAAGAAGGCGCCCCAAACCCCGAGGGGCCTCCACTCTCGGATGGTGCAACGGAGGGGTCACAGGGAGAAGACAAGGGAATCCCCAGCTGTGGCCAGGTTACCAGTGTGGCATCACCCAAACAGGCAGCTGCGGCCGGCAGAAACAGCCCCTCGTCTTCCTCCTCGTCAGCCCTCCTGCCCAAAGTGAGCGTGTCCTTCTCCTTTGCTAAGAAAGCCCCCGTGAAGCTGGAGACGGCAGCTGCCGTCTTCGCGGAGCATGGCGAGGAAGCTTCAGCCGAGGAACCCAGCAAGGACGAGGAGAAGGCTGGGGAGGAGTCCTCCGGGTCCCCAAAGGGCACTGGTTCAGGCAGCCCAGGCAGAAGCCCAGAGGAAGAGCAACAGCAGCAGCAGGATGAAGGGGGAGCCTTGGCCTCCACTCTGTCCAAGCTGAAAATGATGATGAAGAGAGAGGAAGGCTCGTCTAGCCAGGAGCCCCAGTACTATCATTACATTCCCCCGGCGCACTGCAGGGTCAAGCCCAACTTCCAGTTCCTGCTCTTCATGAAGGCGTCCGACCAGGTTGGCAACAAGGAGGAAGAGGAAGAGGAGGAGGAGGAGGAGGAGGAGGCAGCCTCCAGCCCCTCTCAGAAGGAGTCCCAACCCAGGGAAGACAAGCAGGCGAAAGATCAAGAGAAACCGCGGCGAGCGTCGCCTGAGTCGGGCACCAGCACACCCAGAGCGAAGCCCGAGGAGGGGGCTGCAGGTTCCCCTCGGGTCAGCACTCCCACCTCGAAGGCACCAGCAGACGGCGGTCAGGCAACAGCCGATGACCACATGGGCCCCCGGCTCCCCACAGGTCCGTTTTTCCCAGTTCTCAGTAAAGACGAGAGCACCACGCTCCAGTGGCCCTCCGAGCTGCTGGAGTTCACGCGCGCCCAGCCCTCGCTTTCCTACAGCTGCAACCCGCTGTATTTCGACTTCAAGCTGTCGCGCAACAAAGGGGGCCGCGCGGGGAGGCCTCCCCGGAGCGCCGAGGCCAGCTGCGGAGGCGGGAGGCCGGGGAATCCCGCGGGAGAGGGCGCGGGATCGGGGGGCAGGGAGGCCGCGGCTGCCGCGAGCGGCACGGAGACGCCAAGCCCCTCAGCGGGCGAGAAGAACGACGGGCCCCCGGCGAAGGGCGAAGGCACGGCGGGAGGGGCAGACGGGCACAAGCCGCCGAGCAAGAACAGCAGCAAGAAGAAGAAGAAGAAAAAGCACAAAAAGTCCAGCAAGCGGTCGAAGCGGAAAGAGAAGGGGAAAGGGGCGCTGGAGGGAGGGGCGGAGGGGGAGAGCGCAGCAGAGAGGTCCAAGAAGAAGAAGAAGAAACACAAGCGGAAGAAAAGCAAGAGCAGGGCTTCGGGGGAGGAGGAGGGCAGAGAGAAAGAGAGCGCAGCGGCCCAGGCCTCGGCAGGCAGAGATGGCGCGGACACGGGGAAGAGGAAGCGCCCCCTGAAGCAGGAGGCTCAGAAGGTGGGGGCCGAGCAGGGCGACGCAGGCAAAGGCTCTGAGCCAGCGAACCCCTCGGAGGAGCACAACAGTACCAAGCGGCACAAGCCAGACCCCGGAGCTCCTGTCCCGGCCCCGGCTCAGACTCCAGCCAGCTCCGGCCCCGGTCAGCGGAAACGCTCCAGCAGCGGCGGCGGCGGGGGGCGCGGCAGCCGGCACGCGAGCAGCGAGGAGGAGGAGGAGAGCGAGGACGGGGGCTCTTCCTCCCAGCGCTCCCATCGCCGCCAGCCGGCGGCCCAGCAGCAGCAGCAGCAGCAGCGGCGGCACTCCAGCGAGGACTCGGAGCGCTCCAGGAGCCGCTCCTCCCGCAGGGGGGACCGGAGGAGCCGCCGGGGCAGAGGGCGGGGGGCCGGGCGGGGCCCCTCGTCCCGCAGCCAGTCCTACTCCAGCAGCTCGGAGCGCTCCTCCAGGGGCAGCAGCCGGTACAGCGGGAGGCGCAACCGCAGCTACTCGGACAGCTACAGCGACTACAGCGACGCGCCGCGGCGGCGCTCCAAGCTCTCCTCGGACTCCGAGTACGAGCGGCGGGGCGGCAGGCGCCGGTCCAGGCAGCGGCACTACTCCTCCTCCTCTTCCGAGGAGGAGTCCAGCCGCTCGCGCAGCCACGGCCGCCGGCAGAGGCGCCGCCGGCACCGGCACAGCAGCTCGCGCAGCTCCAGCAGCAGCAGCCCCCAGAGCTGGAAGCGCAGCAGCTACAGCCGCAGCCGCAGCTCGGCCAGCCGCTCCTCCAGCTCCGCCAAGGGCTCGGCGCGGCGGCGCCGGGACAGCGCGGCCCGCCGCCGGGACTTCAACCGCTCCCGGATATACCGCTCCCAGTCCCCGCGCTCCTCCTCCTCGTCCCGCGCGCCGCCCCGGAAGGAGCAGGCTCGGAGCGGCGGCCACGCCAACAGCAACTCCTCCCAGCCGCGGCCGGGCAGCGCAGGGGCAGGGGGCGGCGGCGGGGGCGGCGGCAACCCCGGGGGCGCAGAAGAGAGGAACTCCCTCACCGCGCGGCAGCTGCTGGAGAAGGTGCAGTCCCGCAAGGGGACCGAGGAGAGCGGGACCCAGGCAAAGCCAGGAATCAAGCTGAAGGACCCTCCGCAGGGGTATTTCGGGCCTAAGCTGCCCCCTTCCTTGGGGAACAAAGCCATGTTGCCCCTATTCGGGAAGTTCCCTGTGGGCAAGAAGCC